TTGCCGGATCCCCCCGCCCGGCTGGCTTCACCTCCCTGCCTGCGACTCTGCCTGGTGTCTCAAGGCCTCCCCATTCCGCCCTTTAAATATCTTACATATAGGGAGAAATTAACCCCTAACAAAAGAAAGAAAGAAAAAAAAGAGGATTTATAACTAGATGGAGGCCTAAGTTCTGTACATAACTGAGGTTTACTTGAAGCCTTGTCCTGCTTCTAGGATAATGAGATAGATTTAATGTTTACATTGTTATTGCAATAATGATGATCGTCATAAATCCATATTCTGCCCACAGTGTCATCCTGTTCCCTTCACCTGAACTTTCTTTGCAGAAATCATTGTGTCTTTCTGGTGCCGGTCCAACGTAAGATCTGACAAAAACCTGTTGCAACTCAGACCTGAGTTCAGGCCTGACAAGACAAAGATTTGGAATTGCTACCGTGGTCTAAAAACATACAATATACATTAGAACGTAAACCTTCAAACGTGCATGGTACCTGTAGCTATGTTAGTATTAAATAGCCAAACAGAGCAGAAATACTGTCTTTACAAGAGACCTAAATAGGGCCGCAAACTGTTGGAAGAGCTGACTGCTACTTCCAGGGATGAGGCTCTCCAGCAGGTGTTAAATCTATGCCAGATGCCTTCCCTGCAGCAATGCTCTCCAGTTTCCCTTCACTATTTGAATGTGAGTATTTTAGATGTTTTCTTGGAGGGTGTGGGGGTGTCCCTTCTACCTAGTCCCTCCTACCAAAACATGATTAAATCTTTTTTGCTTGAGCAAGTGTTTTTGGTTTGAGGGACAGATGTTGGAAGGCAGAGGGGGGTGATATATCATTGAACAATGACAATTAAATAAATTTCATTTAGCAGGTCATAAAGTTAATGTGCCTAATTGGAACATAAGGATTGAAGAAAGAAAAGAAAGAAGAAAGCCTTGTATTATCCTTTCTATTTCTTCCTCCTTTCTTTTTAAGGATAGCCTATCATTAGTCATCATGAAAGCTCTCAGTGACCATTGAAACAGAGGAGGGACCTTTGACACAGCTTGATCAATCCTAATTGAATAGACCAGAGGGACAGCAGCCAAAAGGAGGGGACCCGTTCTTTGCATTTGACAGCCTCGTCCTTTTTAGTTTGTCAGCTGTCAGAAAACACTGGGGCATTCTCAGGGTGGACAAGAATGCTTCAAGTTGCCATACAATTTTTTGCTACATCAAGGAGATATTGTTTTAAGTGCTGAGAGGTGTCTGATCTGCTCAAAAGATCTAAGATTTTCCTGTAGGGAAGCACCTGCTGCAGTCAGAGAAGTAAATGGGAATTTTGCTGGGTGAGGCCTTGCAGTTTTCCCTTGAATTGACAGAGGGTTCAGTTCCATTCCCCGTCCCATATATCCCAATCCAAGTTGATCATCATGACCCTTTTACCAGTTAGCCTCTGCTTTGCGCAGGAAGAGATGATTACCTAAGCTGTGTGACAACAGAGTCTCAAACTCAGCATTTCCCATGACATTTCCCTTGAATAGACACATTGTGTCTACTTCTCCACTTCTCTTGACAAGTTACTAGCTTAAGCGAAAAGCTAAACTCCAAGAAAACTACATATATGGGAGCAGACACTCATTGAGTTTGCATTGCTATAAATGAGCAACATCATTTCGACTTGTAAGAGGCAGTCATACATAAGCCCTAGTGTAACTGCACCAACTACACCTGAGTAAATATTTGTAAGAATATAGCAATGAGGGAGGAAAGGGGATAGAAAATGACTACCTTTGTCTTTCCTGTCCTCCCATCCCATTAGCACTTTTTCAGCTCTGCTGGGTATGACACCAATGCAACCAAGCAAGTGGCCTCCCATGAGAAAGTTCAAGCAGTGGACAGGGAAGCAGAGTGGGCAGATCTAAGCTTGGTTGAAAAACAAACAAAACCAACCAAACAAAAAAGAAACATTTTAGGCTACAGAACATCAGCCAAGACCTTCACTTCACACTCACAATGCATCCAGCACTTTCATACTCAACTCTGAGACACCTTTATCAGTGCTGACTTCCCAACCCCACCTCTCACCTTCCGCCACATATATAATTATTTTGTCTTCAGCTTTGCCTGTCCTGCCTATGCTCTGCATCAGAGCTCCAGAACACCGAGGAAATTCATGTTGCTTTCAGGTTGATGAGAAATTCAGCAGGCTGAAAATCTCCCCAGAAATTTTGTCCTAAGAGGTTCACTAGCCTAGCTGTAAAAAAACAAGCAATTAAAAAATGCTCAGAGATGCCACCATTTTCTCCTGTGTTATTCAAGGTTCAGCCAAAATTGCTTCTCATTTCTTCTGTAACACTTGACAAGTCTGACAAGAATTTAGGATAAGGTCCACACTATCAGTTCTTTTTCACCTCCCTTACTACACTGTTTATAAACTACATTGTCTTTTGTTATAAGGACTGTCTCCCATCACACATTTGGCAGAGAAAATGCATGCAAAGGTCACAGCTCCTCTAGGCGTCAGCTATATCAAGAAGTCACCTTCTTTATGGATTACAGAGGATGTGAAAATCGTCACATTGCCAGTTCCTCTGGACAGGGCTTGGAATCCTGTATTTATTTGTGCAATGAATGATTTGCTGCAAATCTCATCCTAGTACAGTGTATATCATTTTCTAAAGGACCCAGCTCTAGACAACTGACGTACTGCACAACATTAAAATAATTAAACCAAAAGAGCAACCACTTCAGCAAAACTGGAAGAGAGGAACTCTGAAAAGAAGAATGAGTAGCTTAAGAAAGGTCAAAATGGCCATGCACACTGTCATGACTACAAAGTCATGTCTTAAGCAGAGGCTGAGTGGCCATAGAGTTGACAGACATTCACAGGGAAGGTCCATAGCAAAGCTGTAATGGTGAAAGTTCCTGTCATATGCTAGAAACAATCTCAGCACCGAAATGCCAAGTGAACTCAGCTGCACTGGAGGTACCATCTGAACACTGAATGGTTGTACCCAGTTCTTAGCTTAGAGAATTCTTAGGGATCTGCTCTCTGATCATTCGACTTCTGCAGAGAGAGATGAATTTCACCTCATTGCACTGGCTATTCGTGTGACAGCTGAGTGGGGCTACGTGTCCAGGAACAGCAAGAAGCCATATCCTTATACCGTATTTCTACTGACAAATGCCTCCCACTATGGCACCTTCACAGGATTGTAATTTCTGCCTAGAGCAAAACAGGTACTGATGTTGTTCACCAACTCCCTTTTAGTCACAGAAAGGGTAGAGGCCATGAAGGAGGTTGTGTAAACTATTTCCAAACATGTCTCGGGCTGTAATTTAGAGAAGCCAGGTCTCTGCTGAATTTAGCCTTCCAATAAATAAACAAAAATGATGTGAAGCTCACGTTTCTTTGCCTTGGTGTTTCCAACAGAAACTTTTGATTCTCCAGCTACCCATGACTCACAGAGATGTGTTGAAAACCAATTTAAGACCCAGCATAACTGAATACTGCACAGCATTCATTCAGCTGTGAAGATTCATGCCAGTGCTTCCGCCACAGGACAGATGATGAATGGCTGGCGGTGTTTGCGAAGATTCTGCAGCTCAAAACTTCTTGCCTTGACCTCGAATGTCAAAGAGTAGCTTCTTACACCATGGACAGTTTTGGGGGATGTCTGGTATCTGTACCTCTTCATTGTATCACAGAGAAGAGAAGTTTCGCATTAGGAAAAGAAGAAGGGAACGAAACTGTCAACTTTGAAGGTGGGTGGCATCATAACAAGTTACAAGCTTAAGGAGCCATGGTTGCCTGTAACATTCCCTTCCATCTGAAACAAGAAACTCAAAGGTGCAAGAGAACCACATCTGTAAGAACTTAGCACATCTTATGCTTTGGCTTCAAGACAAAGATGACTCACCTAACTCAGGATAGAGGTATTTTTTGGAAAGAGGAGAAGGCATCTGTGACTGTTACCATAGATAGTCATTAGTACAACGATAAAACAGTTCCCGAATATGCAGGCTGCTCTTTGGGGATTGCCTACCTTTCAGGCTGCTGCAGGAACCAGGACACAAGGCTCTATGGCCTCTTGCACACAGAAATCTGTCTAGATAATCTCAGTTGCCTCAATTGACCACATGAATCAAGAACATGTTGGGATCTTTTCACATAAGTCTGTTTTTGTCTAGTCTATAACCGTATGGGATCCCCTCACACACACACTTCTCAAGTCTTTGAGCACTGCAGTGCTGGTTCATATATAACCCTCTCAGGGTGCTTGAAAGGCTTCTTTATCCCTCAGAATGGAAAAAGTTCCCAGCTCAGATTCTCAAAAAGTACAATAAGGAGACAAACCATAGGAATAAAGTTGTGTCCTTCATACATATGGAAATATCACTGTAGGGGGCTGAGGGCAGGACAGAGAGAAATTTAGAAAGTGGAATGATCTGGCTGGAAAAGATGAATACTGAGTGCAGGGCAGATGGAGGGGGACAATGAACAAAAAGAGGCCCCAAACAACTGCTTTAGCAGGGACACAGGTTACAGTAAAACCAAAAGAAAGAGCAAGATATGTACCTTTTTAAAAAAACATTCTGAAATAAAGTAGTATCTATTTTAGATTTTATCTCCTTAGACCTCCTAAATCCTATTAT